TATTGACTATTGGGTTTCTACAAGGGGTTTGGGTCTTAGTGAATTAAGCCTAAACCCTAAACCCTAATCACTAAACCCTAAACCCTAAACCCTAAACCCTAAACCCTCAACCCTCAACCCTCAACCCTCAGCCCCAAGCCCTAAACCCTAAACCTAATAAACCCCAAACCCTAAACCCTAAACCCTACACCCTAAACCCCCAAACCCTCAAACCCTCAAACCCTCAAACCCTCAACCCCTCAACCCCAAACCCCAAACCCCAAACCCTAAACCCTCAACCCTAAACCCTCAGCCCCAAACCCTAAACCCTAAACCTAAACCCTACACCCTACACCCTACACCCTACACCCTTCCCTAAACCCCAAACCCCAAACCCCAAACCCCTAAACCCTACACCCTTCATGCCCTAAACCCCAAACCCAAAACCTACACCCTACACCCTACACCCTTCCCTAAACCCTAAACCCTAAACCCCAAACCCCAAACCCCAAACCCTCAACCCTCAACCCTAAACCCTAAACCCTAAACCCTAAACCTTAAACCCTAAAGTAAGGCCGGAAGCTCCCCAGAGTCGGAGCTGCCCACGCTGCGGGAGCACCTGGTCTGCTCCTAGGTTCCCCAGTAGTACCCTTGTTGCCTTTTTTTTTGTTTGGGGTTTAGGGTTTAGGGTTTAGTAATTTAGGGGTTTAGGGGTTTAGGGGTTTAGGGGTTTAGGGTTTAGGGTTTAAGGGTTTGGGGTCGTTTAGGAAAAAGGGTGCCCTTCTTGTCAGGGGTCTCCTGGGGAACCTAGGTTCTTTGAAGCCCTCTCTACCCCGGCAGCTGCGAGAGAAGGAGGCCCCCAAGGCAGGGCCCACTGGGCCCACCTCCTGGGCAGACCTTCGGCGGCTGGGCGGCATTTCAGGGGCCTGGAGGGTCCAGTTTGTATAGGGGCCTTCATGATTACCTCTATCCTTTTTTGGAGGGGTGTTCCTTATTATAGTTATAACATAATATAACCCGAAAACCCTATTCTAATCTGTTGGGGGGGGGGGTCCTTATTATAGTTGTAATAGAATATAACCCAAAAACCCTATTCTAATTGAGGCCTCTAAAAAAATCCTGTCCCAACTTGTAGGGTCCCCTATCACAAATAGAAAGACTATCGTAGTTCGCAAAAGCCCTTAACCCTAAATCCCAAACTATAAAAGCAAGGACAACAGTGTCAGTATTCATGTAGTCGGCTCTATGTCGTTACGACACTTCCAAGCATCGCATGCTTTTATGAGTGTTGTGTATATTGCTGTTTTAGGGTTTAGGCTTTAGGGCACCGTTCTGTTATGGTCATTTTCATTATTCGGAGCATTGCTGTTATCCTTCTTGTTGCTACTACCGTTACTGTTGTTGTTTGCACTGTCATGTATTGTTGTGAGTATTTCGTTACTCTTGCTGCTATTGTTGTTATTGGTGTTGTTATTGTTGTAATCACTGTTGTGACCCTAGACCCTAAATCCTAAACCCTAAACTGAAGGCCCTAAACCTTCGATAGAACTGTTTGCGACGACGACAGCGACCATTGCCACCACTTCGACGTTGCCAGGGATCTCGAACTCCAAGGGTTCTTACAACGATTTTTCTAGGAAAGGATCCGTTTAAGGGACCCTAAGCCCCAAACCCTAA